GTGCCCACTGTGAGTGTGGTAGCCCCGGAGAAGCTGTCAGCCAGCACTAGGCGGCGGTACGAAACTCAGGTACATCTCAGTTTCCAAGGCTTTCTAATGCGAGCGACAAAGGAGGAAGAAAACAGGAAAGGAAAATAAAAATGAGTTTCCTGGAAATATTTTTCTTCCCACTTCCCTAACTTGGTGGCCTCTGAAACTTTCATCAACACAAAACATCTCTCTGGCACCAGGATTTGCCCCATCTGTCCTCCAAAGAGGCATCAATGTGAACTGTGGGCACCTAGAAGCAGCTATTGTCAGAATTGTTGGATCTAAACAAAAACTTTCTGATCTGGCTTTGTGGCAGATGGGGTTTGTTTTTGCTTTAAACAAAGCAGAAGAGATCTATCCCAAGACCTGAGGCAGGCTCTTCACTTATACGTATTTGTGGTATCTGCTATATGCTGGATTCTGTGCTAAGTGCCATGGAAAATATAAAAGATACAGGACATGGCTCCACTCCTCAGAGTTTATAACCTTAGAAGCATAAGCATTTTATACTTGGAGAACAATAGGTAAGAATAACAAAATGCTGAATTAAAAATATTCAGTAGGAGTGTTAGAGAGTACTGCAGACATGTGGGAGAGAGATCAGCCTTTGCTTCGCGGAGGTGGTCCCTGAAGGACTGAAATAGGCGGGGAGGAAGGGTTAGGGTGTTCCAAGTGGGAGGGACAGTAGGAAGACGGTATGGATAGTGCTGGGGAGCACGTTCAGGACACTGGCCTCACTTGGGAGGACGGTAAGGGTTAGAGAGCAGTCATTTTTTAGAAATATAATTAGATTGAAATACAAAAGGTCAGATTACCTCATTTTTGTAAGCTGCCCTAGCTGTTTCTCAGGGTGTTGGGTGGAAACTCATTTTTCACATCTTTCTGCCATATTTCAGTTCCATGTTCTCATTGCTGTCATCTTCCCCTTTTTCCAAATTTAGCCTAATACTGAAATTTCCTGGCTTCTACGTGCACTATTTCACCACAGAGCTTTTACTAGGTGTCATTTCAAAAGTGTAAAGAAATAAGCAACTTAGGTGGAGTACAAAACAAGTTATAAAGATAAGCTATGAAATCTCATTTCCCCTGGGATCATAACAGGATATACATACATCTTTCTGACGGGGATTAAGAGCAAGTTCTAGGATATTTGGGGTCCCTTCTAGGCTTTGGTTTGTCACCTGTGACTGTTTCCTGGAGGAGGACATAAAATGGCAAGAAAGATGACTTGGTTTGACAGGTTCTGAATTCTGACATGTTTTCTTCTTGTTAGGTACAAACCCGACTTCAGACCTCCCTTGCCAACTTACATCAGAAAAGCAGTGAAATTGAAATTTTGGCTGTAAGTCACTTTCTTTAACCTTCTGAGAATGGCGTCTGTCCATACTGTCAAAGCCGTTTCCTCAGAGGCCAGGGACTTTTTACTCAGTGTCAGCAGTGTTGGGGCGCAAGCCTGTTATCACTTATGTGAACCACGTGTAATCTAAATGTGTAAAGAACTGGGGAGAAGATGGAAGGTTTTGTTCATTTCTCCTACATTCTTGCTCTGAAAGATGGAGGAGGGGTGTGAAAACGAGAATCATGTTTCTAAGTGTTTCAGGCCTGTGCTTCATTGCATGCAGGTCGCAGTGTCAACCTCTGGGGTGTGGCAGTGTGGGAACCAGTAGTGTTAGTTCACCAGGCTGAGATCTTACCCATTCAGGTTCATTTGGTCCGCTCTAAAGCACAGTAGCATCCCTGGCTCTGCCAGCCCTATTCCTGGTGCTCCATCCAAAGTAACACCATCAACACAAGTCACCAGGTGATGCCCTGGATTCTCTGACAATGTACATTTCTGTCTATTGACAGGTGGATCTACCCAAAGAAACGATCTTACAGTTTTTATCATTGGAGGTAAGCAAAATGAACTCTTCTGCATTGTGGTTTTCTAAATTCCAAAGCTTTGCCAAAAGAAAACTGAAAATAGCCCTGGCCGGTTTGGCTCAGCGGTTAGAGCGTCGGCCTGTGGTCCTGAGAGACCCAGGTTCGGTTCCCGCTAGGGGCGCGTACCTCGGTTGCAGTTTGTCCCCGGCCCTGGTCGGTCGTGCGGGTGGCAGCCACTCGATGTGTTCCTTTCACGTCGATGTTTCTCTCTCTCTCTCTCTGTTCTCCTCTCCCTCCCACTCTACCTGAACAAAAAAATGGGAAAATGTCCTTGGGTGAGGATAAAAAAAAAAAAGAAAACTGAAAATGGCATTATTTTCTTAGTGATATTAGCTATTTTTTTCTGGTAGTTCCAGGAATTTGCTAACATTGTTCCTTTATGCAAGCGACATATATATTACTAAATCAGATTTAAAAGGAATCATACTTTTCTATTGACTTTCTTTCACACTTCGGGGATTATTGAATAAATACCTAGTGCTTTTCTTGAGTGTCAGGCTCTGGCAGGCCTTGTCCTAAGCATTTTACAAACATTAAACTCAATTTATCATAACCCCAAGAGAGAGGTACCATTATTATCCCCATTTTACAGAGAACAGAAGTAGAGAGGTTAAATATCTTACTCAAGGTCACCCAACTAGTAAGTGGTAGAGCGATTTGAACCAAGGCAAAGTAGTGGAATATATGTTCTTAACCACTATACGTGCTGCTAGGTTGTGTCATACCCTCTTCGTTCCAACTAGGGACACTCATTTTATAACTAGAACTATATGGAAGATCTTTTTGTAAAATTAAATTAATTTAGGTACCTTTTTATGTTGTTGTTTTTTAAAGGTGTATACCCTAATTATCAAATAACCAAATAAGGACTTTTTAAAATTTGAATTAATAGTTACGCCTTTGCTATTAAGAACGCTTAATGGTAATCATAGCTATAGGTGATTTTTGCAACATGTCATATTAAAGAACCCTTTGTTTATCTAGAGTGTTTAATCTCAGATTAAATCAGATGAAAAATGGATTTTTCCCCCAGAACTAACATTTCGTACTACATTTTCTGTCGTCTTGTAAATAAGCATACACTACCACTGTACTGGCAGTGTACTGATTTATGATTCATTCAAATAAATGCACACCAGAGGCAGTATGTCCACTTCACACACAGTTGACAATAGGCAGAAATAACTGGTCTGAAGTCACATTAGCACTGTGGCTGCAGTATTGTTAATCAGGATCTAATAAGATGGTCTGTTGTAAAGAAAGTTGATGCTTCAAAGGAGGAGCGTCTGCCCACCAGTTCTAGTATCTCCCTGTAATGACTTCTTCAGTACTTAAAGGGATGGTGGCATTGGCCTTTCATTAGTGACCCAGAAAAAATAATAAACCCTAGTACCTGTTATTAAGTCTTAATCTAATTTTTCCTAGTGGGATGCTGATGAACAGGCATTTAACACAACTGTGAAGCAGCTGCTGTCACGCCTGCCAAAGCAAAGATACCTGAAATTAGTCTGTGATGAAATTTATAACATCAAAGTAGAAAAAAAGTAAGTTATCATTGCCCTGGCCAGTCTGGCTCAGCAGTTAGAGCATCAGCCCATGGACCAATGAGTCACAGGTTCAGTTCCGGTCAAGGGCACGTGCCTTAGTTGCAATTCGTTCCCAGCCCTGGTTGGGGTTGTGCAGGAGGCAACCATTTGATGTGTCCCTTTCACGTCACTGGTTCTCTCTCTCCCTCCCACTCTACCTGAACAAAAATGGGAAAATGTCCTCGGGTGAGGATAAAAAAAAAGTAAGTTATCATTCAGGCATCGGAGATTTCAAAATGGGTTAAAACTCAAGGAGGGGTTTTAAAGTGACATAGTTGACTGTCTTGAGGTTTGATGGCTGACAAGCCGTTGTTAGAACTACATGTCAGGCCTGAATCAGTCACAATCTTGTCAATAACAAAACAGAGGTCCCAGGAGTAACTGTCCCAATTATAATTTTAGTATATGTGCTGCCAAAGCAAGCACCCCAATTATAGTTTTAATCACCCAGGTAACTCCTAGAAATGTTTAAGTGACAAAAAACAGCTGTGATTACTTTGCTTTATGTCCTCATGTCAGAAGGCAGCTGTTCATGTTATCTTCCACTTAAAAAGCCACAGCAAAGCCTGTGAAGTGAATGGTGGTCTCCTTGTGTTGGACTTGATACTGCAGACCCTTGCATGCCCAGCTTTTGTAAAATCTGTGTGATGTTTTAGTGCCTAGCCTTCTGTCCTGTTTTTGATTAAACAAAACTCCTACAGTTAGGTGCTCTAAAAAGAATTTGTTATTAACCCTGTTCTTCACCCATTATACTGATCCTACCTTTTCCCTTCTTTTGCAGGGTATCTGTGCTATTCCTGTATAGCTACAGAGATGACTACTACAGAATCTTATTTTAATTCTAAGGAAAAGTCATTATATTGTTCAGACAGGAGCTATAAAATGTTGTACATTCATTGTAATTTTAAATTAACTTTACACTCAAAGAAGCTGTCATACAAAGTTGAGCTTTGTAAGTTTTTCCCATGTAATATATATATATATATATATAAATTTATCTTTTGGAATATAATAAATGCTTTCATATAGTTGCTTTTTTATTGCAAATCTATGGACACTAAAGGTTTTGTGGAGCTAGAAGACAAGAAAACAGCCTCGTTCTTCTCTTAGCCCTAATGATTAAGCACATGAAAATGTCCAAACTGAAGGGCATAAAACAATCAAATATCATCAACTTGTAACCTTTATTCTTAATTTTTAATCTGCTTATCCTAAATTGGTTAAGAAAACTCTCATTTGACTATGAGAACTCATTCACATTTGCAAAAGGAACAATGATGATAAAATTATATAGCCAGTTGGGAACAATACCCATGAGCTAACACAACTTTTAATAAAATTTTCAGGTTTCAATCCCAATAACCTAGAGGATAGGGCTAAAGACTATTCAGAATCATGTCATTCCAGAATCAGTTATTGCCAGGAACTATCAATATGGGGAGGAAAAAGGAATAAAAGATAGTCAGTGCTGATAAATAGTTTTAATGATACATTGCTCTTCACAGATGGCTGCAGAGACTTTACTATAATCCCGGAATATACAACTATGCAACACAGACCGATCAGCCAGATCTAAAATAAACTGGCTTCATATAACTACCCTGTAAACATCACAACTCTTCTTCCATCCAAAATGACCCTAATCCCACATGAAAAGTTAATGTAGGGAAACCAGAAACTTAGCTTTGTGGCTAAAAGTAAAAACCAAAGGAGAAATAGCAATTCGGTGGTTAGTTGGGAAAAACGGGGAATCTGGTGCCCTTCACTGTGCTGTTTTGCTCTTCTTACTCTTGCTCTTTTTGTCCCTCTTCTTCAGCCCGTCCATGTTAGCTCTCAATAGGTTTGAATAAGCCTAAAAGACACAGACATGACCTTAGTGGGAAGAGCTGCACATTGGTGAAGCAGTTACCCCATTTCCACAATGGACTTGGTGTAGCCAAAATCAGAAAATCTACATGATAAAGAATATAATATCATGGGACACTCATACCTGAAGGAAATGGTAGAAGAGGAAAACACTCTCACATCATAGCAACTTCTGCAACACTCACCCACAGTGAGGTGCACAATTTTTTAAGCAAAAAGGGATAAATGCAGCAACTTCTTGCTCAGCTTTACTATAGGCAGAGAATATCTGAAGCCTAACTAAGGTGGCAAATCTAGCTTATAAAAACTAAAAAAGGAAGACAGTAGCAGTGTTGAGAGTAAAAGTCATAGCCTGGCAGCTTTTGTTCGTAAACTGGTAAACCATCACAGGAGAGGAGTGAAGCTAAATATCAGTTTTAACCCAGTGTTCAATATTAAGCTGACTCTTGCCCCGAGAAAGGGAAACTAGGGAACAGCAGAAACTCACCATCTGGAACTTATTCACTTCTTTGGAGCTCACCTGGAAAAAAAAGAGAGAAAAAATGGTCTCTAGTATCCATATAGGAATCTGCTGCTCATAACTAGATAATAACTCAAAAGCCTCATTAAGACAACATCCTAATCGTTAAAATATTTTTCTGCCCTGGCCAGTCTGGCTCAGTGGTTACAGCATCAGCCTGCGGACCAGAGAGTCCCAGGTTCGGTTCCCGCTAAAGGCATGTACCTTGGTTGGAGTTTGTCCCCACCCCGGTTGTGCAGGTGGCAACAAGGCGATGTGTCTCTCTCACATCAATGTTTCTCTCTCTCTCTTCCTCCCTCTCTCCCTCCTGCTCTATCTGAAGATAAATGCAAAAAAAAAAAAAAATGTCCTTGGGCGAGGATAAAAAAAAAAAATTTCTTCCCAACTTCAGAGGTCATGATACACTAAATAAAGGCTATTTTTCTTTTTATGTGTGTGTGTGTGTGTGTGTGTGCGCACTTTTTTTTTTTTTTATTGATTTTTTAGAGAGAGGAAGAGAGAAGAGAAACATCGATATGAGAGATACATTGACTGGCAGTCTCCTGCACACCCCCCACTGGGCATCCAGCCCACAACCCAGGTATGTGCCCCAACTGGGAATCAAACCAGGACCTCGAAGTCCATGGGACAACACTCAATCCACTCAGCCACACCAGCGGACAAAACTATTTTTCTACTCCACTTTTCTCTGCCTGGGGAACAAGCCAAGTAGCTCTGGACTTTTTTCCACATGAGACTTATACCAAGATGGGAAAGGGGCAGGAGGTTTGTAAAGAAGCTATGCTTCTCACCTCTATTGAAATCTCTTATACACAAGGCATTGACTTTTTCTCCCTGGGTTCTGAGAGACATCAAAGCACTAAGTACTAAATCTTTTGTGCAAGACCCATTTAAACTATTCCTCATCTTATTTTAAACCTACCTTCCATTAACTCAGGCCTATTGAAGCAAAATGCAAGCTACCACAACTAGAAATTTTACTTCTAAAAACTCCTTAGGTTTTCATATTTCATGAAACCCAACTTCATTTTTAAAAACCACGTAAGCTTTGTCCAGCCGGTGTGGTTCAGTGGATTGAGCGTCGATCCTTGAACTGAGAGGTCCAGGTTCAATTCCCAGTTGGGGCACATGCCTGGGTTGTGGGCTCGAATCCCAGTGGGGGGTGTGCAGGAGGCAGCCAATTGATGTTTCTCTCTCACATCGATGTTTCTATCTCTCCCTCCCTCTCTAAAAAATCAATAAAATCTTTTTTTTTTAATCCTCACCTGAGGACATTTTTCCATTTTTTGTTCAGACAGAGTGGGAGGGAGAGAGAGAGACATCAACATGAAAGAGACACATCGAGTGGTTGCCACCCGCATGACCCAACCAGGGCGGGGGACAAACTGCAACCAAGGTATGTATCCTTAGCAGAAACCAAACCTGGGTCTCTCGGGATCACAGGCCGACGCTCTCACCGCTGAGCCAAACCAGCCAGGGCAATAAAATCTTTTTTTTTAAAAAAAGACAAAAACACATTAAGCTTTACTATAAATGTCCTCTCAAGATAACTAGTAAAGGGAGGCATCAACTAATTATGACCTACAATCTCATGAATATCCTATACTGATGTGACTGAAGGAACAGACAGACATAGCTCAGAAACATTTCGAGTTTGGTTCCAGACCACCACAGTAAAGCAAGTATCGCAATAAAACCAATCACAACCTTTTTGCTGATGGAGGGTCTTACCTTCAATTTGTAATACATGTATCATCTGGCAGCATGATAAAGCAATGAGCAATAAAAAGAGGCATGCCTGCATTGATTCAGAATCCAGGGAGTCTCTTGCTTTGCCATATTCAACCTCCACCTTGAAAGGGAACACTAGGATTCTTGACTAAACTTATACTCTCTCAAGTACCAAGCCTATGTGCTTACTAGGTGAACCACAAAGAAAAAGAACAACTAGCTTAAAAGCATCACTTGGGCCCTGGCCGGTTTGGCTCAGCGGTTAGAGCGTCGGCCTGCGGTCCAGAGAGACCCGGGTTCGGTTCCCGCTAAGGGCACGTACCTCGGTTGCAGTTTGTCCCTGGCCCTGGTTGGGTTGTGAGGGAGGCAGCCACTCGATGTGTCCCTTTCACGTCGATGTTTCACTCACTTTCTCTCTCTCTCTCCTCTCTCCCTCCCACTCTGTCTGAACGAAAAATAGAAAAATTAAAAAAAAAAAAAAAGCATCATCTGGTGACAAGAAATTGTCTATGAAAGGCCCAGCACAGTAAGTTAAGGGATAAGTAATCATATATTTATGCCAACTCGTCCTTACAGTGCCACTATGCGTAAGGACCAATGCGATAATTTTTAAAATATTTTTCTTTATTGATTTTAGAGGGAGAGAGAGAAATGTTGATGAGCGAGAACGTCTATTGGCTGCCCCCTGCATGCCCCTGGATTGGGCCCACAACCTGGGCATGTGCCCTGACTGGGAATTGAACTGGGGACCTCTTGGTGCATGGGTCGACGCTCAACTGCTGAACCACACGGCTGGGCCCAAAACGATAATTTTATTTCCACAAAAAATTTCAGCAGGACAAGTGTTTAACAGCTACCTTAATTTTAATTTTGCTCTTGAGTTTTCTACTACTGAGGTAATAAGAGACAGCCCTGATCCCACACTGCCAGGTGGCTCACTCGATTGGAGCATCATCCTGTACACCAAAAGGCTATGGGTTCAATTTGCAGTCAGGGCACATGCCTAGGTTGTCTGTTCAATATCCAGTTGGGGTGGCACAGGAGGCAATAGATTGATGTTTCTCACATCAAATGTTTCTCTCCCCCTCTCTCAAATCAATAAAAACATATCCTTGGGTGAGGATTTTTAAAAATAAACCCTGACATCAAAACAGCTGGGGAGTGACCCAATAACTCGCCTTTATTTAAAACAAAAACAAAGCCTGGTTCAGATACGCCATATGCTCAGTTAGGTTTACGGTTTACGTTGTTAGGAATCCAACTCACCACTGTGCTAATCTTCTTTTTCCCATCAGTAGCTCTTAACAGACACTTGTTGTCTGAGGGCTCGAAGCCCTCCACTGAACCTTTCCGTGGAATGGGTTTAGTTCGACCATCATCTGCAAGAAAAATATATCCTGGTAAACACCGCCACGGACAGTGTTAACAGGTAGGTAAGAGGTAGGGAAGGGAGAGAAGAGGATACCTAATCCACCCGCACTGCTCTAGTTCTGTTAACCTCCTCATCCGCCACTATCGCCGATTTGGCCAGAACTTGGGAAATAGTTGATATTCCCACTAACGGTGGTGGGTGGGGTGTGCGATCCTTGACAAGAGCCATGACATGCTGCACCCCACTGTAACCGGAACCGGCTTAAGCAGCTAAGTGCTGGGGGCCGCAGCCGCCACAACCCCTAATATTCTCCGGTCCCCCAGCCCTGAATGTGCCCAGCACAAGGGGGAGGAAAGGAGGAGAAGGCGGGATGCGCCGCAGACGGCTCGAGGTTCCCAGACATAGGGCACCCGGGCCGGGGCATCGCTCGGCCTCCCAGCTCCCTTCCGGCCTTGCCGTGCCGACAGCTGCTTACACTTCTTCAGGGTGATGAACACACTGCCCGACAACCGGCACTTCTGGAAGAGCCTGGTCAGCTCCGTCAGGAACTGGAACACAACAAACCAGGCCCCGTCAGGCAGCCCCAAGTCCCCGCCGCGTCCAGTCCCAATGCCACCCGCCGAAGAAAACAGAGGTCTGGAGCTAAGCCCCGGACCGCATCCCTCCCTCGGCGGCCCAGCTCTGCCCATACCTGCTCACTTTCCAGCAGAACCATCCCGGCTCCGCCGGCTCCACTCCGTCAGCCTAAGACCCAAGCAATCCGAGCCGGAAGTTACTGTCCGGCTGGAGAGACTTCCGCTTTTAGATTGCAACTCTATTCCACCAATCCCCGCCTCCGTCCTCTCCCCGCCCCGCCGGCCCCGCGCCTGCGCTCTGGGGCGCCCCGCCCAGGCCCAGCGGGGAACGATCCAAAGGGCCCTCGGGCCGTCCGCGATCTCACCCGCGAGAAATCCTCTCACCCCAATGGGAGTAAGGGAATGACAGCGCGAAAGAGAGATTTGCTGGAAACCTCGAGTTGTTGCCTAACAGTACAGTGCCTCCATTTCCTCACCTTTAACATTAGGAAAATAACAGTACCGACTTCACTGTTTGGTTGTGAAGAATAAATGAATGTATATGAAATACCGAGAACAGTGCCTGGCACATAGAAAGTTCTGGATAAGCGTTAGCTGTTGCTGTTATTGTCGTGGTCGTTGTCATCATTATAAGTTGCCATGGCAGTCGTCTGAACGCTGCCTCTTCTCTGACCAGGCTGGGTGGCCCTAAAGGCCCTCTAGCAAGTGGGGCTGGACCCTGGTCTTGGTTTTACTTCTGGATTCAGTCGAGAGACCTGCGCTCGAGGCCCTGCCGTGCCCGTGGCCAGCTTGAACTCTGGGCCCTCGGCAAAGTCAAGCATTCAGTCATGCGGTGGGGTTTTACTGACAGCCTCTTGGCCTGTGCCAGGCACTGTCGTGGGAGTGGGGGATACGGCAGAAAACAAGACAAGCTAAGTTCCTGGTTGCCTGGCACTTGGGTTAAAGGAGTAATGAAGAAACAAACAATACAGCAAGTAAGAAGTATGGCTTCAGATCCTGATAAGCGCTGTGAGGAGAGGTAACCGGGGTGATACAAATGAGGGTAACCAAGAACTGCTTTAGGTTGGTTGGGTGGGGAAATCTCCCTGAGAACTTTGAGCTGAATGGGGACAGAATGTTTCAGACAACAGGGGATGGCTGGAACAAAGGTCCCCAGAGGGAAACAAGTTGTCCTGTTTCCACAAGGCTGGGGGCAGAGGATGGGCGTGGAGAGGGCATGGTAGGAGGAGTGAGGAGTGTGGAGAGCTTGGAGAGGTGGTCATATAGGACCTGTGGCCATGGTAAGTTTGGGTTTTGTTCCAGACACAAAGAGAAGCTTCTTGTTAAGCTTTAAACAGGATAGTGACCATCTAATTTACATTGTTAAAAGATCTCCCTTTCTGTGGGGTGGAGAATGGCCTGTAGGGAGACAAGGCTGGAAACAAGGAGACCGATTAGAGGATTGCATTAGCTTCCTTCACCACAAACTTGGTTGCTTAAAACAACATGAATTTATCCTTTTATAGATCTGGAGTTCAGGCATCTAAAATCAATGTTTCTGCAGGGCTGCACTCCATCTGGAAGCTTCAGGGGAAAATCTGTTTCCTTGCTTTGCCGGAAGTTACCTGTATTGCTTGACTCGTGGCCCCATCCTCATATCATTACAACCTCTTGGTTCCATTATCACATCTCCTCCTACAGGGCTGATCCTCCTGGCTCCCCCTTATGGTTACATCGGGCCCACCTAGATAATCCAGACTAATCTCCCCATCACCAGATCCATAACTTAATCACATCTGCAAAATCCTTTAAACATGTCAAGGTAACATATTCACAAGTTTTGGGTATTAGGACATAGACAGTTGAGGGTGGAGGCTACTATAGAAGTTATTGCAAAAGTCCAGGTGCTAGTACACGTCAGATTAGGGTATACAGCAGGTCCTCAATTAACTTTATTTTGTTCAACCTTGTTTCATTATAATATTAGTGACATGCCCTAGGAATTTAACTCTTGTTTATATGAATTAGCCTATAGTAAAATTGTTTTCATTATAGGTCATTTTGCTTAAAGTCACAGAACCTATAAACAATGTTAAGTGAAGACACTACTTTAAACGTAGAGTCAACAGGACTCACATTCAATTGAATGTGAACATTAAGAGGAAAAGAGAAAACAGGGATGGCTCACAGGTTTTTGATATGAGCACCTGGGTGGATGATGGTTCTAGGTGGTTCTATTTGCTAAGATAGGAAAGATTTAGGAAGTAAAAGTTTTTTTTTCTTTTCACAAAACCCACCCCCCAAAAACCTTGATATTCTGCCCTTTGAGTTGTAGTTATTAAGACAGTTGAGAGGAGTGAGAGTGGGAGCCAGATGAAAAATTAGACGGAATTTGATGACTGCAAGTCTAGTCCACTTCGTTTTTATACTGGGAGCGCTCGTTGCCAGTTTCATTGAGAAGATACATACGGATGAGGGCTTCTGTCACCCCTCGGAGTCACAATTACCAGAGGGGTGCCAATCTTCAAAGTAACCCTTCTTCTCCTGACCAACAGCCTGGGGAATGGGGATATGAGTGCTACAGTTGGCCACACCAGCAGAGAAGTCCCTGATATTGGAGGTTTCATTGAATCCAGTTAGGTGCCGAGCATTGTCCTGGCCCCCCTTGGGATCATAGGCTCAGATGTGATACTGGTGCCGCTTGCTCACCATCGGACTCCTCAGTGTACTTCAGACCATTTTCCTCTCGCATGGCCGTGGTGCTGAAGTTGGTGTGGCAGCCCGCCCCATTCCAGTCCCCACGAATGGGCTTGGGATCAAAGGTTGCTATCACTCCACAGTCTTCACACACTCAAGATGAAATGGGTTCAAGATGAAATGGACCACCCTGAGATGATCTCCCATGTTGATTCCTTCACAGGGTCATCTGGAATTCCCACTGGGTGGGCGTGACCTCGGCATTTGTCCCAGCAATACATATTTTTTTTCTTTATTGTTGAAAATATTACAGATGTCCCTCTTCCCCCGCCCCTCCTGGCATTGATACCCTCCCCCTATCCCGCTTCCCCCCCACCTCCACCCTTGCCTTCACCACACTGTTGTCTGCATCCATTGGTTATGCATATATATGCATATAAGTTCTTTGGTTTATCTCTTCCAGTCCACCCCACCCCCCTTCCCTCTGAGGTTTTGTGAATCTGTTCCCTACTTCCATATCTCTGGATCTATTTTGTTCTTCGGCTTATTTTGTTCATTATATTCCATAAATCTCACTTACTTGTGGAATACAACGTCCCAGCAATCTTGATGCCTGGCGTACAAGCCAGCCAGGTTGTGAGCCTTCACAATATCCCTGCCGTAGGCTCTGTCTGCTCCCACGCCACAGTAGTATAGACCTTGGGGCCCAGGAAAGCCAACCAGAAGGATGTCCATCTGTGCCCATAAGAATATATTCATGCTTCGTTCCAAACAAAGAGTGCTTTTTGCTCACCATGTTCATTATACATTTATAGGTACAGTATGTCTTAAATTGTTCTCTACAGGCTATCAGTTATACTTGAAGACCTCACAGAACACCAGCTTGTTGGGGTCCTTGTGGCAAGTGTCCTGAAATATGGCAGCAGGGACAAGATACATGTTACTGTCAGAGCCTTCAGACTGTCAAGTGCTAGAGCCATCAAAATGCCACTCAGGCAACTCTTCTATCCACTTGGGCTCACTGTCCAGGGTCCGGGTCTTGCATCACAGTCCTTCTTCAGTACCATCAATCCACATATACATGGCTTGGACTTGACCCCCTGAAGCAGGGACATGTACACCTCCTTGATGCCTTTGTTCAAGTGGGAACTCACCGAGGTGGCTGTGGTGGAAGATGTTCTGGGGGACACGGGGGCGGGAGGGCAGGCAGGCAGGCCATGAGAGTGAGGTGCGGAGAGGGGAACAGAGGAGGCTGGGGTGCTGCTCAGAAGTTCCGTTCATTCTTCTCTCATCCTCGGCTCTGCCAGGAAATAAAATGTTTTGTTAAAAGTTTTGTATAAAAGGTGAAAAGGCCCCGACGGTTTGGCTCAGCGGTTAGAGCGTTGGCCTGTGGTCCAGAGAGACCCAGGTTTGGTTCCCACTAAGGGCACGTACTTTTGTTGCAGTTTGTCCCCGGCCCTGGTTGGGTCGTGTGGGAGGCAGCCACTCGATGTGTCCCTTTCATGTCGATGTTTCTCTCTCTCTCTCTCTCCCTCTCTCTCTCTCTCTCTCCTTTCCACTCTATCTGAACAAAAAAATGGAAAAATGTTCTCGGGTGAGGATTAAAAAAAAAAAAGATGAAAAGTTTTTATTTTGATCCAATAATATCTGAGATGCCTGTTGCATGCCTAAGTGGAATTATCAAGTAAGCAGCTGAAGATAAATGCTTGGAGCTCAGTGGTGAGGTAAACATTATCATAAATAAAAATTGGAGAGTCATCTTCATATGCCATGGGACTAGCACAGACTGGAACAGTCTGGTGAAAGCCCCTCCTCTGTGGCTGCCCGCACAGGACCACCTGTGATGACCACACTGTGAATAACCTCTGAAGAGCCCTGGGCCTTGGAATCTCTAGTTCAGGAGTCAGAGTCCTTGTTGGGAGTCCCAGGTTGGCAAGTCTAAGTCCTGAGCGAGGATGAGAGAGTGACCCCTCTGATTCTTTGAGTTTCTTTGCCTTTCACCAAGCAGCACACGATGGAGAATTACGAATAGGTTCAGATCCTGGGGTACCAAAAGCCAGCATAGTTCTGCTATACAAGATCCTCAGCCTAGGATCAGAAGTGAGCAGAGAGTGCTGAACATTTTAAAGAAAGCATGAAATCATCAGAAAGTAAACACATGAGATATATTATCAGATAGTCAGAGAACATCAGAGCCCACTTGGTATTTGTCATGCATTTAAGTGGAGCCAATTGCAGTGCTTGTGTGATCTAAGGGTTGCCCTAAATGATCACCCTTTTGCTCTGAGCTTCTATCATTCATTGAACATTGAGTGATGTTCTCTGAAGCCATGGGGCTGGTGCTGGGGACACGAGGGTAAAGGAAATGGCCCTACCGTAGATGAACACAGAGCCTGGAGGCCAGGATTCATATGGGGCTTACTCGGGATTAGCCTTCAACTGGACACATCTCACTGCTTCCCAGGTCTAAGTCACACCCCGATTCCATTCAAGAATTAACAGTTATGCTGCCCTCTGGGTGACATCTCAAGGTAATCCCTGAC